GGGGTAGATCTACTATAATTTTCTATCAAGCGTGTTCTCTTATCAGTAATGTACTTAACACCTTGAAGAATGGCCAGTACTACAAAAGTGTTGAACGACATAACCATACCAGTAGAGAGATGTCAGTGATCTGTCAATAATGGTAATTGTAGCCTTAATGTGAATGGGTCAATTAATATACATGTAGTGGCTTAATCGCCCTTGATACCTGTTGGGTTTGTATGTTTTTCTAGCCGGAATTACATGACAGTCTATTTTTGTACTTAGTGGAAATCCACCCGGCTCTTTTCGTGTTTGTTTGTATGTTTGTTACATAATAACACCCGTGTTTTCAATGTCGCATAATGTTCCAGTTTTTTTTCATGTTACTGTTTGTCGTCAATGTAGTTCTATACAACGATTTGTCTGGAGCGAAAGTGAAACATTCCAGCCGTCCGCTGTTTTTGATCCAAATGCCATACTCAACTGTCTCAGTGGAATGCAACTGTCATCTTTAGTGTTTGTCGTTGGTTTGTTTGATTTTTTCTAGATTTTTTTGGCCTCGAATTAAAACTGATGTGTGTAGATATAGATGTGCAGTGTGGTTTCGATCAGCTACGTGTGTATTTTTTAAGGATTTGTTGAGTTATATTAGAGTGAGATTTGTGTCTCTACATGTGTTCTTGATCTAACTGAATAAAAATGAAGTTGCCAGTCTGTGCCGTTAATTTCGGGTAAAATTATTTACCTGTGATCGTGTGAGTGACTTCAGCCCCCCCCCCCCCAAACAAACAAACGAAAACCAACCAACAAACAAATAAGCAAAAAACCATACGTGTAGGTGGTTGGCCGTGCTCTGGTGTGGTTTGCTCCTTCTTTCCTGTCAAACATCTGTCGTCCTTATCTCCTCTTCTTTTTGTGTTTGTTTCTCTTGTGTAATACCTCATCTTGGGCACTTACATGGAATCTTGGGCACTTCAAGTTGAGTAGTATCTTTTTTTTTTGGTTTTTTTTTTGGGGGGGGGGGGGATTCCAATATAATTAAACCAAAAGAACAGCGGCGCGGGCAGTATTGCATACATACGTAAGTTGTGCACGTGAGCCTCAGATAAGATGTGCTTATTGCTCAAATTGCTTAGAGATGGCTCTTCTATCCTGGTTTTGTAATTTGATAAACTTCCTTCTTTTACTTTGCAATAGAGGACAGTTGGCGAGCGCTCTGGTGTCGTTTGCTCCTTCTTTTCTATCAAACATAATCTGTCGTCCTTATCGCCCCTCCTTTTTTTGGCGTTTGTTATTCTCTTGTAAGAGAGAGCAAGGTGGTGGTGGCGGAGCAGACATAAATTATATTAAACTTGTTCCCGCATACGATCCAGACATTGGGGATTGCCTTGTTAGTGAGACAACTTCCTGAGCCTTTGTGCAGTTCCTACTTCTCATCTTTCTGTTATCTATCTGGCTTGTCTCATCGGCCTACTAAAAATATGGTCATTATCTTGTCGCAGCTTTTCTCTTCCCTCTAACTGAGACTAAATAATATCCGTATGCTGTTGCAATCACCGTGAAGGTCTTGCCTCGAGCTTTAAAATTAAAATACAATGTATATTCATTATCGTGTCCTCGAACTCAGACTAAATAATACAGTATAGCGTTCATATGACCTCATGCAATTGCGAGTGCTGTGAAACTCTTACCATTTTCTCAAAGAACAACAGCAGCGGTAAAACTATAAGACGTCAGGAGTGTTTGAGTTTCCGAATTGAATTCATCTTTATTCATCGTGACATGTATGCGTTGACAAATTTATGAATGCTGTTGAGAAACGAAGAAAAACATCTGTTCATATAATAATATTTATCATAGAGTTAAAAAGAATCAGCATGTACACACATATCCATTCACTCTTTAGAAGTAAGTCTGCCCTTGTGCTAATAAAATACTGGTAACGCCCTAGTCGATACAGCCTATACCCTGTGTATTGTGAGGAACACTAAACTTTTATTTTGTTTTAAAATGTAGTTGTTATACGCCCTCATCGACACAATTTAGATCATTTTGGAGGCGTCCCGGCAGAAAGACGTAGAAGATAAATAAAACTTGTCCCCATTCGAGAATCAAACTCCGATCTTAGCTCCCGACAGGCAGCTCATCACCGTTACAGCAAAGACGCCAATGATAGTAAACTTGTAACAGGTATATAATCTGTGCACTGACACAAGCCCTCAACTCCCACGCTCATACACGCACGCATGGAATGATCATTTAGGAAGCATATCAATTTATCAGAGGAAAAAGGGGGGGGGGGGGGGAATTATCACTTTTTAAAGTTTTAATGGAAGTAAAGAGGGGGTGGAAACAAGTCTTCCCCCAATACCCAGCCTGCACAAACTTATGGTCCCCACACGGGTCCCGTCTGAACCTCCATCGGCCCCTCATGCGGATACCACATGGTGTGCGGGTGGTTGGAGAGCGTCACTGGTAGGTCCTACTTCTTTACCTTCCCTCTGTTATTTCTGTATGTCTATTTTACCTTTTCCCGTCTCTAAATGACCACTACGGGGGTCAATATACCAGTACTTCTTTTTACGCAAGCAAACAAACAAGACATGGTGCCCAGACAGGCTTCTCACGTGGATGTTTCTTCGAGCCCACCTGTCTCCACCCATATCAAGCCCACACACAGTCCACGCCATGCTGAGATGCAGCCCACGTTCCTAACCAGCCTCGGTTATATATATAT